AAAAATGGACCTAAGTCCTCTATGTTTTGATATGGGGAGGATATGAGGGTAGCAGTAAACAGAACATGCTCACTTTTCTCACAACCATTCTCAGGAAACTGAGTAGTATTACTCTTCAGGATATGGGAAGGAGCGTTTGACTCATACAAAAAGTGAATTTTGAGTTGTACGTGAAAAAGTGACAGAGACTTCAAGAAAAAGGATGCCAGGTTACACTGTTCGAGTGGATAAACTTGGAATGCACACTCCTCATTTCTGTCACACGCACAAAGAACTAGTTCCAGAATCAACCAAGCGAGTATGTAACTATACAAAACATTTTGCTTGCACAAAGACCATCTTTGCAGGCTCTTAGTTTCTCCTTGTTGCCCATTTCAACTGTAGAAGCCCAAGAGAATGTCAACATTTAAAAAGGCACAATTTTAAAATACTATCTAGTTTATGCATGGTATGATCAACACATCAGAACAGATCCTACAGGCATTTTATATGAAAAGTCATGATATTTGCTAAAGTCCTGAATAATTATCACTGGCAAAGAGTTTATTTCTGTTTCCAGAGATGTCAGTAAGAACTCTGCCTAACGGTGCATATATACATTTCTAAGTAGATTGCACAGGTACATGTATATACCATAAGAAAATCCCATCTCATCCATGTTTGTTTCATGAAGAAAAAATACACTGTAAGCAGCTTTCAACTGCCTCCTACTGTTATTGCTCAGACTTACAGGAAGGTTTTCTATGATTTCTCCATTCTAAAGCCGGCTAGCACTTCACAAAGACCAATCAGCACACCACTCCATAATTATTACTGTACCAATTACAACTGCCTATGTATGTTCAAAATAACATTCACATAGAAAAGCAGATGTTTCCACTTGCTGCTTTAGCAGCAAGAAAGAAAACTAAGGCTGGGTATCCAACTCTTTCTAGACCTTTGCAAGAAGCATTGTTTTTGTAAGTAGGGTATTTTTATTTATAATTACAAACAATTGATATAAAGCACACATATTTCAAAAGGAGTGTATGTAACGATAAACGGTACCAAGGCTACTTGTTCAATTACATAAGTATTAAATCATGAGTTGCACAGTGCTTTTTCTGCAGTATAAACACATATTATAAGAAGACCACACTGAAGTCACCCCTCTAAAATTCATAAAACCTTTCCCTCACGAAGAAAATAATCTTGGGCTGGTAAACAGCTCATAAACATTAAAGTTTCATAGAAATCTTTACTGAAAACTTGGAAAATGTCTAAAACTGGAACTCGTTAACTAGCTTATCACTTGTGCCATGTGATAACCTAATCCCTAACAAGATTTACAAAAGGGATTTATGGATCCTCCAGCTGATCTATGGGTGATGTGCATTTATTCATACATGGGGGGCTAGGATTTTTTTTGATGCTTTGAAAGCAGAAGAAATTTATTTTCAGTGACTCATTAGAGGTGTGCAAAACCTGCAGAATGCATCAAAATACTCTATTTTTTGCAATATCATTAAATAAATACACACAAATCCATATAGGATTCCTTGTATAAGGAATGATCAAAGTCATCACATGATGTTTCTACTTATAATATGCAGCAAAAAATAAAGACATAGAAAAAAAGGTGGAAAACCCGCTGTTTTGTTTCCAGCGTATTAAGAGATATTTTCATACCAGCATAGTTACAGTTAAACACAGGCAGATGAATATATTTTTAAGTAGGCACTTAAAAAAATGGCTCCTCCTGATAAATAGAAAGTAGGGAAGAATTTTCTATGTTATTTTGCTTACTCACAAGGAAAATCCACTTAACACCTGAAGAACTTGAGAGATCATGAAAAGATTAGTACTCAAGAAGAAAAAACTAAATCGCTGAGAGGTATTTTTAGACAGTTGTTGAAAAATCTTTAATTATTTTACTTCATCTTTAATATTCATTTAGTTTACACCTGAAGAAAACAATTTGGAGGAAAGTGCTCTGTTTTCAAAAAGGCATTCTGCTTCTTTATTTCAGAGCATGCGACTGAAACAGGATGTCCATACTTAGCATGACCACAATCGCATAATGTGAATAGCTTTACTGAATGCAAGGGTAGCTTGCATTGTAGAAATCTGTTCAATGAAAGTAAAATGTTACAATACAACTGAGAAAAGCACATTACTTTTCCCCCCCTCTGAAACAGTACTTCATCAAAACAAGAAATTCAACAGTTGCTGCTACTGGTTTCTAAGATGAAAAACATGAAATAAAACGAAAAAAAAACAAACAATTGAACAACGGAAGCTGGGAAGCTTGCATTAGACAGCAGAAAAAAAAGCCAAATTTTTAAATACATCACCTTACAGAAAGATCACAGTAGATGCAATTTTAAAAATCCTTTCCACTTCACATTTAACAAATAAACTATCTTAATTCTTCATAATATGTGCAAGACTGGCTAAGCAAAACTTATCTTAACAGGTCAAATAAATGACTGTACAAGACAGTTAAACCATGGTTTCATCTAGTACTATGGATATTAGTTAATTACTTTCAGGCAATAGAATGAGTTATGAACACAATTAAAGCAAAGTTAGGCATTACTCTTGCAGTGCAATAGAAAAGTATTTTAAGCATGATATGGAAGATCCAAGTCATAAAAGAGCGTTACAAGGCTTTAAATTCAGAACTCCTGGAGTTATGAAGTTCATTGTATTACAACATCCATAAAACCAGAAGGATTCTTTGTATATGGTTAAATAAGCTGAAATGAAAAGATTCTATGTTATAATCAGTAATATTTTCCCTATAGTTAGTGACTGAAAATTTTAAGTTCAGGGACCATCATCCAAAATCCAGAAACAAGCACTTCACTCAGATATACAGTACAGTACAAATTTGGCCTAGAAGAACAGATTTTCTGCTTTAGCTTATAAAATTGCCCTTATGTGTCCACAAAATGGTGCAACTGATTTAATTTAATTTAATGGATCTGTCTTTCAGCCATGTATCTTTTTGGTTAAAAAACCCAAGCGTATACAACTACCTTCTCTCAAGACTGTATAAAAGTGATAACAATTTGGTAGTCATACTCAAAAAGCATGCTATGATATAAACTTTCTGCCAATTTTAAGTCACAATATAACTGTGATTAGTAAATAAAAATTAACTGTACCAATTTTATTTATTACAGGGATACATGGTGAAGCTCAATGCAATGAATTTTGTAAAGGTGTTTTTAGGTCTTCCTGTGTAAGATATTACTATAAAATAGTAGTAACATCTAACACTATATAAATGTTTGTAGTAGTTGGTTTCAAATGACTCAAATAAGGTCAACTTTACAGAAATGCAAAATAATACTGGGAATTATTATTCATTTATAGCCCTCATAGTTATAATATGAGAAAAAAAATATTTGTACTTTTCTTCCTTCTATTTCAATTTCTTGCACAAAGAGAACTGCCTTTAGCAGAAATCCCTTTTAACACACTACAATCATGTAGTGTATTATCCAATGCAGTTTTTTCTCTAATAAAAGGACCCATATAAGAGTGAATAGCACTCCTAGAACCAGTGAACAACAAGAGAAGAAAAATCATTATACAACTTCATGACTGTCACAGAAAATGAGGAGGAACAACAACTTTGTCTACTACTGCTTTGAGATTCTACCCTACTACCAATAGAAGTGGTTAGACATTTCTAAATACACTTTCATTTTATTTTATTTTTTTGTTTGTTTCTTTTGCCAATCCCTACAGAGTTGCAAGTAGAAAAACTGCCCTTGGACAAAACAATTTTTATTTCTTTTTATATCATAGCAATTGCATACATCTGTAACTTGCAAAGCTTTGGGTTCACAGATCAAAATTCCATCTTCACAAACAAAACATTCCCATTTCACACAAGGTCTATTTAAAAGCCTACCTTAGCTTTCACAGAAACTGTATTTTCACATCTAAAACAATGCAGTCTCATTAAAAAATTACTTCCTATCTAAACTACGTAAGTTTCCAGAATTTCTTTCACTGAGAACTAAAACTTCTCATAATACTAACTTTTTACATGGCCAGGAAAAAAAAATATCCATCAAACTACAAATCACTGTATTAAGAAATAGCATCAAAAGATGTGTGTACTTCAATGATCCAAAAGGCTACCAGCAGGTCATCTCTCTTCTACTGAATTTCTAAAGAGGAACTTGAAAGACTTGGAGTTTAACATAAAGCAGTCAGACCAGTTCACAACATTGCTTTCATTTCTTCATATACTCATATACATATTTCTGACACATTCCCTCATTATATACATCTTTAAGCTCCAGACTCCTCGGGATAAATACGCTTTTTTCATAGTTAAGCTACCTGAACACACCTTTCTTGTGGAAAACTCATGACATTATTACAAATCTAGGTTAGGTTGGGATGACTCCAGGCTGCATATCTGATTCAAACAACAGAAACCAGCTAATCATCCATCTCTTTCTTCCTACACACATCTGCAAACTGTGATCAAGTCTACCGACTTTTTTAGGAATTAATTACTGAGGGAAAGATGGCAGTGGTTTATTGTGCAGCACCATGAACACTTGCAATAAAATCAGCAGCATTACTTCAGAGTAATCTACAAGAAACTATTCTTCTAAAAGCAAAAATGGAATACAGGAGAAGTCATATTTTTGACTGCTACTCATTAAACAACCAAGTAATTAAATCCCTGACTACGCACTATTGCTCCAGGAACCTGTGTTAGCCTCTCTAAAATGATCGGTTCAGGAGTTTATCTAAGAGAAACAAGTAAACATGATTCTACCATTTCTGAGTAAGAGAAGTTATTTTACTACACAGCAGCATCTAGAGAGTTAATCAACCAAATCTTCTTACCACCTGTCTCTTAGATTGAAATGACCACCTAAGGTCTTTAGTAAAGAACAAATCCTGGGGAATTAAGTCTTGGACCTGGATGCATTAGAAACAGAACAGCTTCCTTTCCCACCACCCATGTTCAATGAATTTATACTCACCCTCTGAGTGATGCTTTTTCCCTCTTTGACTTGCACTGCCAATCCAAGATCAGACAGTCTGCAATTGCCGTTATCATCCAGGAGGACATTTTCTGGTTTCATGTCCCGGTACACAATCTTGATAGAATGGAGATGCAGAATCCCGCAAGTGATCTGAGCTGAGTAATAGATGACCCTCTTCATTTCCAAACCCCTTTCTCCTACATTGTAGATGTGGTACTTCAAATCCCCTCCATTCATGAGGCTCATAACAAGACATAGATGGCTTTTGCTCTCATAGGCATAAGCTAGTGTGACTATGAAAGGGCTGTTGACCTTCTCCAGGATCTCTTTCTCCAGTAATGCCATCTTCTCTCCACCTTTCTTTTTCAACCTCTTCTTATCCAGTTTCTTGCAGGCATACATCTTGCCAGTATTTTTCACCTGGATGGCACAAACCTAGACAAGCAAGATGCAGGCAGAAAGGTAATGAAGGAATTTTATACATACAGACTATAGAGCATCAAGACAGGAACTGGGGAATCACAGATACCTATTAGTAGCTGCTGAAGCTAACTTCTATGGTGGAGTATATTAGCACAGAAAATCAGCATAAAACCAAGTGTACAATCTGCTTTGTTCGGACCACTGTATGGTGCACCTCACGCAAAGTTCTTGAGGATACCATTAAGAGACTTGTATTAGCAAATAAAAGGAACAATTCTCTGTCCATAAGGATATGTGGCATATACAGCTTGCACCTGTATAGCTTGTCTTCCATCTGGACAAAAGTAGCTTCATTCATACTGCGTTTGGGAACAGATCCTAATCTGTGCTATTCCCTAAACCACATCTAGAATTATCTGGTAGTGCGTGCTAGCACAGGCTAAGAAGGTGCTAAGGAGAATACTAATGATTAAATATATGAACAGTCACACAAGCTTTTGTAAAGAAACTTGCTTTTTTACTAGCATCGACAGAACATAAAAGTTCTAGAGTAGCTCTTCACTAACAGGTATCTGGACCCCGTATCGCAGATAAACTCAGGCTAAGTTTTATGAAATGGACAATCTGAAGGAGCAAGTTTTGCAAAACTTTAGATAACTACTTAACCCATTGCAAGTTCCTCTTTGTAAACCCAACTGCTGGTCTTGAAAGGGAAGGAATGACCCACATCTGTAAAAGTATAGCTCTTACCTCTCCAAAGCCACCTTTGCCCAGCACTCGGAACTCATAGAAGTATTTTTCAGTTACTGGTTGCTTCTCAAAAACTTTCCATTGGAGGAATTTGTCATAGAAGGGGCTGGTCTGGAAGTCCTGGAACGGCTTGCCTTTAAGGAAGAGCTTGGTTTCCTCCTTGGCCATCTGCACAACATTCTCATAGTCATTTGCAGTAGCTGCCTGGCATTTGCTGGCCAAGTCAGAGCTCATGAAAGCCAGATAGTTTTTGGAGCCTGTCTTAAGAAAATTGGTGATCATATTCTCCATGGTACTGCTCTTGACATTGTCCTCTGCCAACTCCCAGTTTGACACCTCATCCAGGAAGTCCTTAGCTACCAAATATTCTGGCACTGTCTCTAAGAAGTCTCTGAAGAATCTCTTGCCAATGGGCTGCTGCTCACAGATGTTGTCATAATCAGCAACAATGGACTGTCTAACATCTCTGCACTGATCAACCTTGGGCAGCGAGAGGCTCCTACGTCTCTTTTGCATCTCCTTTGTGTCTCCATCTCCACTCTTCCTTGCCTGCAGATAGGCTGTGTTGGCAATCAGGTTGTCAAGCCCCCCCATGTCACACATCTTGACAAGCTCTTGGGGTGGCAGAGCCTGGTTGAAATAAAATGAGAAACTAGCCCAAGCGCTGTGCTACAGCTGCCCTGCACTTCCTCCTTGCTGGTGGTGCGTGCAGGCTTCTAAACAACACCACAGACTAACTGCTTTTGCATTAAATACCTCTGAAGGATTTTGACTAAGTACTTTTAGGTGCATGCACCATTTGTGGAAAGTGACTGGTAAGAGGTTTCTCTGTAAGGAGCTTTGAGTTTGCTATGTATAGCTGAGGGATGACATCCTAGGCAAGCCTTTTCATTGGCAGCATCAAATGCATGCTGTTCAGCTGGTGTTTTTTCGAATGGGCCCCGATAACCTTTATATGTATGAAGATATCCTCTATATGCACTGTCCCTGGCTGCTGAGAATATGCAGATTCATGTTTGCAATATGTGCACACTCCAAACTTAGTGGCACACCAATGTACTAAGAATTATTTAAGTTTGGATCTGATTTCATAAAAAGCTTTTATCACATATCTGCCATGTCTGAAACAGAAGTTGACACAGATGAAGACAGAATCATAGAATGGCTTGGGTTGGAAGTGACTTTAAAGATCACCTAGTTCCAACCCCGCTGCCACAGGCAGGGACATCATGAGGCACTGAACTTAAAATTATCACACAATTCAGTGCTTTGAGCATCCATGCTTCCACAACTCAAATTACACTCAACATCAATGACTGAGCTCCACAGATACCTCACGCAAACCTTGATGCCTCATGTGGCTCTGTCTGAGCGGATTACATGCAGAGGCTAAGACCTGCTGCTGTTCTAAAAATAATGATCCCTATATGCAAAACATAGTTCTGACTTCATATCCTACTCACAGAAAAAAAGAACACTTCAAATGACCAGCCAAATCTTGCCAAGACACTGCCAGATGCAACTATGGCCTCAGTTTATTTTCCCTGCTGAGCTTTATGACAGTAAGTGGCAGATAGCAACAGTGTATAGTTGAGGTGACATCAACAAAAGAACAAAGCTGATTATAATCAAGTGAAGGCAAATTCCACCTGACTACCAGGAAGCCTGTGCCCCATTTTTTCCCCAAAAGAAAAATTATGTGTTGCATTTACGGGGCTAAGCCCCCTTCTGTCATGTGTCATGCAATTTTGCTGCTAAAGCTTTCTTTGGATATAAGGAAGGTATTTATGGCATCAGGAAAAGCAGTTCCATGATTCTTCCAGTAGCAATGAGGTCAAGCCGCACTCCTGAGGTCAAGGTCAAGTTCCCTTTTCTCTTTTTTCACTCTTAGAGCACATTGAAGAGCTGTATCACAAATACTAACATCAGGAGTAACAATAGGCACCTCTAAGACTCCCAACAGTAAGTGCTAAGCCCTTCTTTGCTGCTTTTTGTCACTCTATGTAGCATTTTGGTTTTCCATGCTTAACCCTGTCTGCATTGAATAGATTTGGCATAAAACTCATGCTTATTCTCTACAAAAATTACATTAGCAGCGTGTTTTTCTAGCTGTGATTGAGAGAGCCATCCATCACAAACTGCTATGTGTGCAGAACACAGTGTACTCTAAAGCTGAGTACTTCAAAGTCTTGCTGGTACAGCAGTCATTAATTCTACCAGGTGAATGCAAGCACCATGCAGGGGATTACATAAATGACTAAACAATGCAGCTAGTACCAGCAGAGAAAGCAAAACTGGAAAAATTCAGAGGAAGAACTGTGGAATTCTTCTGGTGGTTTTCCTGAAAAAAGTGCCTACAGCAACATATTCCCATAACATCCTGGGTACAGAAGAGCAAGAAAGGAGGAAATAAAAATTCATCAAAGCCTATTTTGCAGTTAACAAGAATGCTATCAGAGCTTGAACAGCAGTACAAATCGCTGGTAGCTGGGGACCTGAGGGTGAACTCAAGCTTACACCAGCTGCTGATATATTCACGTCTAAGCAAATCAAGAAAACACCTGATGTTTATGGTACCTGTGTAAGAAAGACACATTCAGAGCTCTAAAAATCATTCTGCTGTGTTAATGAGAATCCCAATTCGTATGGAACATAAACTTTCTCTAAAAGAACATAGCTTCATAAAAAGCAAAGTGAAAAAGTATGCTCTTTGGATGCATATTCATAACTCCAGTCACTTCTGAGAGAAGACTCTAGCAAGATATGCCCATCATTTATTAAACAACAGAGAAAAGCAGATCAGCATTAATCTACCGGTCAATAATGACTATTTAAGTTCATGTTACCTACTAATAAAACAGTATATTTGGGTGAGAAACAAAATTGATCTGGTTTGCATGTACAAGAGGTGAACAAATTCAGGACTAAAAATGGTACTTAATAAGAATTACACTAATGGAATGTCAGGGAATGTTTTGGAACGGAAGAAAATTTCTCTGATGCAGAGCTTGTAGAAAGACTGGGACTTCAGCTAATCTCAGAAAAAATATGCAAGACATAATTTATTACCTTTTGTTCTAGGTGAACCTCTAGTTACTACTCAAAAAGATACACAACTATCAGCTGCTTTGATTTCAACATTAACCATCCTCATCTGCGTAAATGCCTATTTGAGCCGACACTTTGGAAAGCTCTTCTACAATTATTTGCTGCTCTTGTCACGCAGGTGATGTGAACAGAAAGCAGAGTGAAAATTACTCTGGTACTTTCCATATTCACCTACAAACCAAAGCAAAATGAAGAAAGAAGCCCTCTGATGGGACTAGATGGAATTAACAGAGGTTAGAAGATTGAGCCTGGGACCATTTTGGCACAGAAAATAGGTGGTAAATAGATATAGTTTCACTTTGACAGATAAAACCTATTTCCACATCCCATCAGATTTTTTCTCAGTCATTTTAGGAAGAATCATTTTACACAAATACTCCTCAACAACATAAGGGCTAAAGGCACTTCATTACTACTGTTAACCTATTTTATAGTTGTTTTCAATTTTAAGACGGACATCATCTGCGATAATAACAACCAATGTCATACAATGTAACAGTGACAGAGAAAATTCTTTGATCTCAGTTTGTAATGAAACAGAAGTTATATTTTAAAAAATCAAAATATTTTAAAAACAAGATTACAAGTATTAAACAAAACCACAGTAAACTCTACATGTATGCTTGATGACACAGACTGACATTGGAACTTTTTTATACAGAGAAGATAAACCTCTTTAAACAGAACTAGACAGAAATACATCTGCTAAGAGATGCATTAAACATTTAAGATGATAACTTTAAACTTGATACGCATATAATATTTTCTCAATTTCACCCAGGTTTATTATCCGTTTTAACAAGCCTGAATTTGTTACAGATTTAAAGCAATAATTCAACCCATTCTATATATTTAAAAAAAATAATCCCACATCATATGGTCAGATTAATAGTAATTAATTTGGATATTTAGGGAAAATCAAAGGCAGAGGCAAGCACTTAAATATTTGTAAGAAAAAAAGACATGATTCATATATATATAAAAAATGCTGTATTGAGAATTTCCACAAAAATTACATACTTTCTCCCACTTCCAAAACATTGTAACCAATAAAATGATGATAAATTTCTATTAACTGAATTTTCACGAAAAACAATTAAACATTTTTCCCTCAATTTAATTAGTACCTGCTTTCCTTGGGATTATTAAATTAGTAGTTTTGTTGGCCTTCTATATTATTCAGCTAACCAGCAGGATTGTTTATGCCCCCAGACAGCTGATATCAAATACATGTCTTTGTACCAAAAGTCTCTGGATTAAATATACATGTCTCAATTATCTTTAACAGAAATAGAAATTAAAGAATTATGAATGGAGTTAAATTTTAATGCTATAGTTGTGAAAATCATGCATAGAATATAATGTAGCAACAGACAGAGATACAAGAAAACAAAATTTTCTGAAGTCATAAAAGCTAAATTAGAAATGTTTAGTATAGTGTGATAGAAAAAGCATATAGCAAATGCTTTACACAGTATTTAGATTAAAACCCAGAATACTTTCTAAAAAACTCTCACTGTTTTTGTATACAGTATTACTCAGAAAACAATTTCTTGATCCTGACAGTAAACTATGCAGTGTTTCAGACTTACACATAAGGTCACCCTTGCAAGTTAATTAATTTACCTAAACAAAAACATTAAATAAACTGTATTTAGGGTATAATCTACACTACCACACTTCTGCGCTCTGATACAGTTAACACTCAAATCATAACAGATACATTTGTTAACGTAGAGTCTCTTGGCTTTTTTATTGTGGAAACATCTGCAGTAAGACTGACCACCCCTCCTGGTACGGCAATCAGCATAGGACAAAGCCACACCTATCTTCTAGCAGATAAAACTAAATAAATCATGCCACAATTGACGTGTTCCATTCTTCTGTAGGAGCATAACATGTCAGACATACTCTGCTTCAGTAAGTTTGACACAAAAAAAACCCACCAACTTCCAGTGCTTTTATTTGCCTATTCTCTGGACTACCCAGTCCTGCTGGCAGAGGGGACAGCGATTATTCTGTTTCACCCACAGGGACATGCAGCAATTGTGGAAGGAATGATTGCATTCTCCCCAAACCACTGAAAAAGAAGAAAGAACACGTTCCAGTCACACTCAGCTGTCCAATTAACACCTACTGCAAGGTCCAAACTATCATTCTCAGATGTTTATAACCACTGCAAGCTGCAGAGACAAAACGGGTCATCACTGATTTACCCACTGAGACTGGATTATTATGATCATTACGATACTAGTCAGTTCTCTATCTATCATCAATCCTTTTACTTATTTCCAATTACCAACAAAGAAATGCATATATTCTCACTTTCTTGTACAAAGCGATACAGTTTTGTGAATGTATAAACACATTTATCAGCTCTGCCCAGGAAGTAAGTTCAACTATCCAAGTTCTTCACTTTATCTTCCCCAGTACCAAACTATAGCCAAGGCACTATTATCATGAAAGACCATATCACCAAACTCTGACCTGAAATGCTGTGTTTAAACTTAAATGTATGACATCAAGGAAGCACATTTCATACAATAAATAGCCTCAAAATGGGATCTTAGACCAGAAGTTATTCATAGGCTACAACTCTTTCAACACAACAAGAAGTGTCCATCTACTCCTGAACAGTATTAGTTACTTTGTTTTCGCCTTATTAGTTCATATTCTTCTTACTACAATACAAGGGTACTACTCAAATGAGTGTTGTAAATTATGTTCTGGGTTTGTTTTCCTCTCTGACTATCTTAAATAGGACACTCAGCAAGCCAATTAAGATACATGGAACAGCAAATCCCTTTTCTCATTAAAACAATCATCAAAACCAACAGTGGATTAAGTTTGAGAGAATATACTTCAAAACAGAAAGAATAAGGAAGGCTTAACCACTGGTTTAAAAGTTAAAGATTTAAAGCAAACTGAGACAATTTTC